ATTCTACCACTGAGCCACAATCCCAGCCCTGGAGTTTAGATTCTTAATGCAGTCTTGTTCAATAGAATTTCCTGAGATGTGGAAATGTTCTATATTGTCTTTTGCAAGATGATAGCAACTAGCCATATGTGATCACTGAATACTTGCAGAGGCTGGTGTGAATAAAGGACTGAATTTTTAACTTTTTAAAACTTTAGTTTACTTAAATTGCTAATGTTCAGTGGTTATCATATAGGATAATACCATCCTAAAGGAAGCGGACAGAGAAAGATAAGGCAGATAAATAGACAAAATAATTTTATGTAGTGATTTGAGTTGAAGAGTGAGAAAACACACTAATAAATGTAAAACAAATTATGAAGTTATCAATTTTTAAACCTTTGCTATTTGTTGCTTAGGTTTAGGGACCCTTATTGGTGATCTAGTGATTTAATTTTGGAAAATGAACCCCAAATCTCATAATAAACCTGCATATTTCTATCATTTTATTAACTGCACAAATTTATTTTCTAGCCCTGAATCGTCATCCTCAGTTCCTGTTGGTGATACCTCTACATTGGGAGGTACGCTTTGGTGCCATTATTCACTTTTCTGTATGGTATGGTTTAAGATAATCTTAAAAGCAAGTGTTGTTTTTCAGATCAATTTTTTAAAATATCAAGTTTTCTCTATGTATTGTTCAAGAGTCTCTAGAAAACATAATTTCTCCCACTTATTTTATGGCATTATGTTGTAGGTACTTAATACAAATCAGAATACAGCTTTAAAAAATGTATGAACTGATGAATTATTTGAAGGCAAGTACTTGGTAACCACTACTTATATCAAAGGTAGAAGAACCTGTCTAGTGCCACTTTTTGTCATTTGTTCTACAGTTTCCCAGAGTAGGGATTTTTCTGACTGCATTCTGTAACATGTTCCTTTGACCTCTGTATTTCTTCTAAATGGGTAGTTGTTTCCTATATTTATTTATTTATTTTAGTTACAAAAGGCAAACTTCTTTGTATCAGAAATTTCAAACATACAAAAATAGAATACTATGATGTGGTTTAGTTTCAGTGTTTGTTAAATTATGGCAGTCTCCAACTTTCACCCACTTCCCCTTTCTAGTATAGTTAGTTTGTTCAGTATCTGTTCAGTATCTCCTTAAGATAGAAACTTTGAATTTCCAACATCTAGCATAGAGCCTGGATTAGAGTAGGGGGTTCAAACAATGCTTGTTGGCTGAGTGATAATCATTTCTTATTCTGGGAGGACTCTATACAAATGTGCCTGAAGATTAAAGTAGACTAAATCTCCAGTATGAAAAAGCAAAGGACTTGCAAGAATGGTTTCTGAAGTCAGTTCCTTATTTCCTGGATACCAATTCTGGGACTAAACTCATGTGTTTGGTTTTTTGCTTAGGTACTGCTCTCAATGTTCCACATCCAGGAGTGGATTCCTATGAAGGTGCCTCAGAGAGCAGCTTGGAGTCCTCAGAGGAGAGTGTGAGTCTTGCTCTGTTTTATTACTTAGTTTCTATACATGCAGGAAGGAAGTTTAGACAAGAGTTAAGAGAGAGTTTATATTTCATTGCTCTAACTACCAGGACTTCATGTGGTGCCTGCTATGAAAATATCACGAATTTTAATACCAATACATTAAAAAAGTCTAATATTGCTTGGAGAACCAAATAACTCATGGGAGAGTTTAGGTGAGAAAGGGCTTCAAATTGCAAATGAAATGACATGAGGCCCAGGAACTCTCATCATGATAAAATTAATCCTTAATAGATCATATCTTAGTGTTCTCCTTTTTAGAGGGAAAGAATATAGGTTTTAAGAGTTTAAAATTCAAAAAGCACTGTGCTTAAAAATGTATAATTAGTATTAGCCTTTCCACTAAACAACATTAAGTCCTATAGCCAAGTATTAAAGAAAAATAAAAAATTTACACACTACCCAGGAAGACAGAAACAGTTTATTAGAAATACTGCTTAATTTTGAGGATCTGTATGTCCCAGATTATTTAATATAGAGCAAATTGGCTGAACATATTTCCTGGAGTGATGCAATTTAGTTACCTTGCCTGTCCCTTCTCAGTATGAACATTTTAATTTATAGGAAATCAGACTGACTCATCCTGCTTTGGCTCTCTATCTTACCTGTCACCAAACAAATCTGATAGTAACTTGGGATCCCTAGAGTGGATGCCCAAATCAACACTATCCCCCAAAGTACAATTATGTCCAAAGTAGATGATGCTGGAAAATACTGGCATTCAATAAAGGTTAGTGAATGAATTGATAAAAAGTGAGAGTGTAATTTCAAAACTGAGGTAGAATAGGAAGATTTAGGTCTGGAAACAGTTATAAAATGAGACAGAATTAACTATAATAGAAATGGAGGAACTATATGGAGTCCACTGGAAGGTTAATATCCAAAAATGGAGAGGATAATTTGAGCCAATTAACAAAACCAACAGGAAAACAAAACAGTACAGCTACCCTAACAAGAATTAGACTCTCTGCACCTCTAGTTCAAAATAAACCCCAAGGTATGTCCCTATTTACTATCCCAATGCATGTTCCTATTTACTATCTTAGAAATAATATACTATGTTTCTGTTTTGTTGATAGCTACCCTATAAATTATAATATGTATTTAACTTTACAGGATTTAAGGTTTTAAAAGTCTTTGTTTTTATATTAAGCCATATGAAAACATTAGAACTTTGTAACTTAAATGATCTCCCTGCTGACTTACATGATAATTTTCAGTAGTTTTGTTCTCTTTCTCTCCCTCTATCTTTTTAATTCAACAAATTGAAAGTATTGTATTAGATTTGCACAGTTAAAGTTTGTTTTACATTTATAATTTTATTTCTTAAAATTGTGTTTCTGTATTTTAGTCCTCTCTTTTGGGACAATTTTCTTCCTGAAATATATACTTCTGACATTATTTCAGTGACTATCTGTTACTGATACAATTTCAGTTTTTGATCACCTAAAAATTTCTTTACTATTCTTTTATTCAAGAAAGACATTTTAAATATATATTCAATTCTGGCTTGAGGTTTTTGTTTTATCAATCTTTATTTCATTATCTTCTGGCTTTTGCTGTTATTATTGAGAACTTAGCTGTTAAGTTCAGCTGTCACTCCCTTTGGGGTATCCCGATTGCTTTCTCTGTTGGCTTTTGAGATCAATCTATTCATTCATGTATGTGTGTGCATGTGTACTTTTCTATTTTGAATTCTGTAGTTTCATAAAAATGAGTATATATGTGTGCAGGCATCTATGTTGAATATACAGTTCCATACCATAGCAATAAAATGCATGTCACAGAAAAGGAAGTAAAATGGATATTTTTGTTTTCTGGTGCACATATGTATTATATTTATACCATACTATAGTCTATTAAGCGTGTAATAGTATTGTCTTAAAATAGTGTATGTACCTTAATTGAAAATGCTTTATTGTTAAAAAATGTTAGCAACCATCTGATCTTTGGTGAGTCGTAATCTTTTTGCCAGTGGAGGGTCTTGCTTTGATTTTCATGGTTACTGACTGATCAGAGTGTTGGTAACTGGGGGGTTGGTGAGACTCCTTGATTTATGGGCTGCAGTATGTATATTGAGATGCCAGATGACAACAACATTAATCTCATTATACATCTCCTCCAGAGTTCTTGGGTTACTGGGTATATTTTCAATGAGCAGTAATATTCTGAAAGGAATCTTTTATCTGAGTAGCAGACTCAAAAATGGGCTTAAAAAATTGTGTAAACTGTGTTGTAAACAGGTGTGCTGTCTCCCAGGGTTTTTTTATACCATTATAGAACATAGGAAGAATAGATTTAATATAATTCTCAAAGACCTAAGATTTTTTCAGAGTGATAAGTAAACAGAGCTAGCTGCATTAGAGAACTAAAAAGAGAACCAGTCTGTCCTATAAAGTTTTGAAGCCAGACATTGACCACTTCTCTATAACCATGAATATCCCAGATGGCATCTTTTTCCAGTATAAGGCTATTCTATCTACACTGAAAATCTCTTGTTAAATGTGGCCACCTATCTCAATTATCTCAGCTAGATCTTCTAAATACTTGCTGTAGTTTCTATATACTTGCTGCTTCACTTCTTACTTTTATTTTTAAATTTTTATGTATGTAAATTTACATATAGTATAAGTACTTATTTATAATGTGATAAATTATGTACATACATACAATGTATAATGATTAAATTAAGATAATGAGCATTTCTGTTAGCTCAAACACTCATTTTAATGTGTTGGGAATCTTCAAACTCTTCTCATTATTTTGAAATATATTACAAATTTTTATAGACTATATTTACCCTACTTTGTTGTAGAACATCAGAACTAATTTTTCCTCTCTAATTATATTTTTGTATCTGTTATCCAACCTCCTTTCTCCCCACCCTCTCCCCTTTCTTGCCTATGGTGGCCACTATTCTACTATCTGTTTATATAAGATCAACATTTTTAGTTTATACAAATGAATGAGAACATGTGGTTTTTGCTTTCTGGGTATGGCTAATTTAATTCAATATAATTTATCCAATTCCATTGACTCTGCTGCAAATGACAAGATTTAATTCTTATTTATGGCTGGATAATATTCCACTGTGATTCTAATCCACATTAAAAATTATTCATTCACTCTTGGACACCTTGGTTGATGTTATAACTTGGCCATTGTGCATAGTGTTGCAATAAACATGGACATGCAGGTGTCTTTTTGAGACAGTAATTTCATTTTCTTTGTATTTATACACATAGTGGGATGCTGGTTCATCTAGTAATTTTACTTTCCCTTTTTTTGAAGAACTTCCATATTGTTTTTCATAATGGCTGTACTAATTTACGCTGCTTCTGATGGCACATCAGAATTCCTTTCCTCCACATCTTTGTCAGCATTTGTTATATTTTATCTTTTTAGTAATAGTTATTCTGTCTGGGATCAGATGATACCTCATTGTGATTTTAACTTGAATTTCCTTAATGATTAGTGATGTTGAACATTTTTTCACATATGTGTTGGACATTTGTATGTTTTCATTTTAGAAATACATCTTAAGCTTCTTTGCCCATTTTAAAATAAGATTTTTTGAGTTTTTGGCTATTGCCCGAGTTCCTTATATATTCTGAATATTAATCCCTTGTCAAATGAATTCATTTTAAATATTTTTTCCCACTCTGTGGGTTGACTTTTCACTCTATTGATTGTTTTCTTTGCTGCACAGAAGCTTTTTAATTTGATATAATCCCATTATTGCTTTACTTGCATGTGCTTTTTGGGGTCTTATTAAAAAAAATCTTTGCCTATACCAACGTCTTTAAGTGTTTTCTTCTAGTAGTTTCATTGTTTTAGATCTTACATTTAGGTCTTTAATTATTTCAAACTATTTTTTATATGAAGAGAGAGAGACAGAGAGGTTTCTAGTTTCATTTTCATTCTACTACCTATGGATATCCAATTTCCCAGCACTATTTATAGAAGAATCTGTCCTTTCCCCAGTGTATGTTCTTGGGACCTTTGACCAAAATCAATTGGTTTTATGTAAATAAATTAACTTATTGGTCTCTCTTTCATTGGATTGTATTATTTTTATGCTTGTAGCATACTATTTTTTATAAATATATTTTGAAGTCAGGTACTATGATACGCCTTCAGCTTTGTTCTTTTTGCTCCACATTGCCTTGGCTATTTGGGGTCCTTTGTGGTTCCTCATGAATTTTATGATTGTCTTTCTATTTCTGTGAACAATTTCATTGGCATTTTGATGGTTATTGCATTAATCTGAGATTATTTTGAGTAGTAAGGACATTTTAATAATATAAATTCTTCCAATCAATGAACACAGAATGTCTTTCTAATTTCCTTCTTCAGTATGACCTTTGACCAAAATAAATTGGTTTTATGTAAATAAATTAACTTCTTTTTCTTCCACATACTTGTTAAATTTAACCCTAGATATTATATTTTGATAGGTATTGTGAATGAGATTGCTTCTTTCATTTATTTTTCAACAAGTTTATTGTTAGTATGAGAAAATACTACTTTTATGTATGTTGATTTTGTATACTGCAGTTTTATTGAATTGAGTTCTTGCAATAATTGGGGTGGAGTCTTTAGTTTTTCTATCTATACAATCATGCCATCTGTAAACAGGGATAATTTGTCTTCCTCTTTTCCAATTTAGATGCCTTTTATTTCTTTTTCTTGCCTAATTACTGTAGCTAAGGCTTCCAATACAATGTTGAATAAAAGTGAAGCTTGTACTTTTATGTAATGGAAATTGCTTCTTTCCTTAAACCTCATGAACCAACTTCTGCTAGCTTCAAATTTTTCTTCTAAGGCTTCCTCATCTCTGTCAATCAGCCTTCATAGAATTGAAGAAGTTAAAGCCTTGCTATGGATTAAGTTTTGGTTTAAGTGAATGTTGTGGCTAGTTTGTTCTTCGATCAAGATCACTAAAATTTTCTCTACATCAGCAACAAGGCTGTTTTGCTTTTTTATTATTTGTGCATTTACTGAAGTAGCATCTTAAGATTTCCTTCAAAAAATTTTCTACCGTTCACAACTTGGCTAAATCTTTGGTACAAGAGACTTACTGTTGAGTTCATCTTGGCTTTTGACATGCCTTCCTCACTAACCTTAATAATTTCTAGCTTTTGATTTAAAGCAAGATACATGCAACTATTCCTTTACCTGGGATGTTTTAACCTGGCTTAACTTCAATATTTTTTGTGTCTCAAGGAATAGAAAGGTCTGAGGAAAGAGAGAAATATGGGGGAATGGCCAGGTAGTGGAGCAGTCAAAACATACACATTTGTTAATCAAGTTCACTGTGGTATGTAAATGGGGTTCATGGTGCCCCCAAATAATTACAATAAAAACACAGGGATCATTGACCATAGGTCACCGTAACAGATATAATAATATTAAAGAGCTTGAAATATTGCAAGACTTACCAAATCGTAACACAGAAGCATGAAGTGAGCACATGCTATAGTAGAAAAATTGTACCAATAGACTTGCTTAATGCAGATTGCCACAATCTTTCAATCCATAGCAAATGCAGTATCTGTTAAACATAATAAGGCAAAGTTCTATAAAATGAGATATGTCTGTATTTCTCTTTATTTAGTTTTCTTTGGATTTGTTGTACTGTCTTAATATGAGAGTTTATGCCTTACTTAAATTCTAAGAAATTCTAGCTGAATACCTCTCATGATTAGATGTCTGACTTCCTTGTTGTATCCCTCCTATGTCTTCATTCTATAACTTTCATTTCTTTGTTGAAATGAAACTCAATGTTGCATTTAATTCTTTCATTTCGCTAATTCTTTCTGCAGTCTAGCCTAATATGTTGTTCAAACTGACCATTGATTTTTTAGAATTCTTGCAATATGTGGTAGTTTTGATTTGACTTTGCAGAGTGTACATGCCTTCCACTTTGTGTCTTATCCCTTTTTGGAATTTTAAACTAAAGACTATATAATGAAGGAAAGAAGATGCTTCTTAGAAGCTGCTACCTTTAATATTATATTACCTGTCTGGATTTCTGTAAGCTATCTTTTTTGATTTCTTGGGTTTTTTTCTTCTCTTTTTTTCCTACTTTCTTGCAAACAAGTTAAAAACATAAACAAACAAACAAAAAACCAAAATATCTTCTTCTTCAGCATTTTTAGGTGTTCTGCAGCAGTAAGGTCCAAGTATTTTCTTTTGTAATATTATTAAAATGGAAGTCTCTGCCCCAATTTAGTGTGAGATAAAGTTTAATATAGAACATCCTGTACAACCAGAGAATTGAAATGTTGTACTCTATTTGTGTACAATGAATTTAAATACATTCTGCTATCATGTATAACTAAGTAGAACAAATAAGAAAAAAGAAAAAAGTTTAATATAGAAAAATGCAAAGTCTTGTGCAAAATTCCATAAGACTATTGATCTCAGTATGCATCAACAATATGATGCAGTTAATGAAAAAAATAAGGAAAGCTAGTTTTATTTTTTAATATTTATTTTTTAGTTATAGGTGGACATAGTATCTTTATTTTATATTTATATGGTGCTGAGGATTGAACCCAGTGCCTCACGCATGCTAAGTGAGCGCTTTACCTCTGAGCCCCAGCCCCAGCCCCAAGCTAGTGTCATTTTAGGTTACATTAATAGAAACACAGAATCTGCTATAAGTAAGGTGGTAGTCCTACCATAATTTAATTGATTAGATCTCACTTGTGGTGCCACAACTACAGAAAATAACAAGATCTTGAGTTTTGAAAGGCTCTTTGGGACTGCAGTTTGTATTTATATCCCAGGTTATAGAGCTTGGATCAATGGTGGAACTTTCAAGAAGGTAATTAGGGTTAATGTTAAAAATTTCCCAACCATTAAAACTTCATGGAAGTATAAAAGTCTGCCTTTGAAAGGCAAACTTGTTTCTTATCATAGCCATTTAAACAGATGGTGAGCAGCCATTTGCCAGGGATATTGTACAAAGAATTTAAGCACCAGAAAGGATGATGAGATCTTCGAGGTTCTTTTCCATTCTGAAGTTTCTAAGTTTTCTGATATTATATGATCCACCAAGGAGGAAAAATGATACAATTTTTAAAAAGCACCTGAATTCTATTCCAGTTGTCTTGACTGGAGTTTTCAGGTTAGTCTTATCCTGGTTTTCTAATGTATCAAAATGGGAGGACTTAGATTAAATGGACTTGTGTGTATATTGCATGCAGCATTTATTACTATAGTGTTTTAGTAGTGAGAGCAAAATTCCATCATTTCTACATTTATTAAATAGTGTTCTTCTGTAAGAGATATTGTTACTTTACTATCTTTTTTGTTCATTCATTTATTTATGTCAGTGTAGATTCATGGATATTTATTTTATTCTTTGTATTATAATCCAATATTTACTTTATTGATCAATTTATTTCAGCTTTTCCCATGGGAACACCTGGATTAGGGAGAACTTAAAAAAATTGTTGAATATAGTTTTTGACTCCACAGACCAACTAACGTTTAAGAAATTACCACTTTTTGAGTTGGTATAGTAGCAAAAATGAATATTCCCAATTATCTCAAAAAGCTATTAATATATTCCTCCTTTCCCCAATATATATCTGTTTGGCTTGATTTTTTTTATGTACTTCAATTAAAATAGCATATTGCAATTAATTGAATGCAGAAGTAAAAATTCAGCTATTTTGTATTAAGTTAGATGTTAAAATGCAATATCACTCTTTCTCATAATTTTTATTTGGTAAATATTTATAGGCATAATCCATATAAATCAAATTTTTTGATTTGTTCAATTAGTTTTAAAAGTTTAAAGGGACTCCAAAAAGTTTGAGAACCACTCTTCTAGGCTATTTTAGATGATAACTAATTATAGTATGGTCAAATCTTTTTTTACTCACTTTGATGGTTTCCTATGGAAAGATTTCTGCTTTCTCTTGAACTTATTAATGTGTGTTCAAATACGGGGCTGAGGTTATGGTTCAGAGATAGAGTGCTTGCCTAGAACGTGTAAGGCCCTGGGTCCAATCCTCAGCACCACATAAAAAAAATAAATGAATAAAATAAAGGTATTTAAAAAAAGGAAATGTATAAATGCAGTCATTTTAATATTAGGTCTTATCTTAAAGCCTACCCAGTGTATTCTAAAGTGGAATACTACATAAAGTATCATGATCAGAAGTTGGCTTTGATTTGGCACAATGTCTGGAACTTTGTAGGCAATTAATAAATATTTGTTAGCCAGTGGCTCTGGAGGCTGAGTCAGGAGGATTGCGAGTTCAAAGCCAACCTCAGCAAAAGCGAGATACTAAGCAACTCGATGAGACCCTGTCTCTAAATAAAAATACAAAAAATTGGGCCGGGAATGTGGCTTAGTGATCAAGTGCCCCTGAATTCTATCCCCAGTACCCAAAACAAGCAAACAAACAAACAAATAAATATCTGTTAATGGAATGAATAAACACTGACATTTATTGCTCTTTTCTAAAAATCCAGATTAGCAATGAAATTGAGAATGTGACAGAAGAGCCCACAAAACCAGCAGCTGAACAGGTTGCAGAATTCACTATCCATCTTCTGGGAAAGCAATACAAGGAAGAACTACAGGATCCCTCCAGCTCCTACCACCAACACCTTGCAGAAGAGTTTATTTCAGAGGTATGTAATTTGCTGTTTGTTTTTGTAAACAAGATAGTTTCTTAAGGATTAAGTTTTCCACATTCACAATAATATTTATGGATAGGTTTAGTTGTCAGCCTGCTTTGTTCTGGGGTGGTGACTTAGATGTTTCTTCAGAATGCTTTATGAAAGGTACACAGATAAGTCCTTTACTAGAAACAGTATCCTTCCATCTGCTAACAAATAAATGCTCTTTCCAGCTTTTGCTACATGGCCAAGGAAGACAGATTTATGGCCTGGTTTCGACTTGACAATATTAGCAGAAATGAGCATCTCTGAGAAACTATGCGCACTGTAATACTTTTCTTGAGGAAACATTAAATTTGATTTCTTTGAATCTTTAGTATTATTTTTTTCTTAGGCTGAAATTTTTTGAGTAGTTAACACATAAATAATCTATAGTACCAAAGTTTAGAGGCACAAAAAGGTATATAGTAAAAGAAATTTCCCTTCTTTGTTCCTTTGTAAGGTGTATTTTTTTTAAAAAAGGTACTATTTAAAGAATGATGAATTAGAATCTCTCATAAATTTACTTTCTGGAAGAATTCTGTATAGGACTTGAACTCAAGATTCTTCCAGTTAAAAATGACACATACTTGGCCCCCTTCTGGAGTGTCTTGGTTCCTATGGAGTAAGGTATTGAATCCCATACACCCCTCTCTGTCTGAGGACAAGGTACATCATTCCTTCCTGTTTATCTCTTTTCCAGTCCCTCTTGATTGGGTTGTCCTTGGCTAAATTTGTCAATTCCATTACCCTGGATTAATTTCCTTCCCCAGGCACTATGTCCAGATGGGAATAAAAATATGCATCTCTCAGCCAAACAGCATCATTGTAGCCTACCACCAGACATGGGGAGTGTAGGCCAGACAATCCATTTTCCTAGCTGTGCAGCCAAGTTGCAGGCTGTATGGTATGTGGAAGAAATGTCAGCCAGGCCGGTGGCCACCTGGCATCAGATAGTATCTTGGATTGGTGTCTGGTTCTTTTTGCCTTTGGATTAAGGAACTTTTAATAAGTCTTAGTGTTTGGGTAAATAATTACACAGAACGACTGCAGATTTAGAAAAAGTCTAGAATATTCTGAAAACACCTCCAGGAGAGAATGATAGCGGTAGTTAATGGAATGAGGTGATTTGAGGATGATGAAAGGCCTGGGCCCACCATGAAATACCTTTTCTCTGCCTCTCTCTCTCTACCACCATCCCCACCTTATCTAGAGTGAAATGTCAATCAATAGTTACTCCTGTGAAGAACAGCAGAAGCAGGGGTTGTGTCTCTGAAGGATCTTCTCATGGTATTTCCTGAAAACTGAAAGGGCTCCTCTAATTCTTTCCTTTCAGGGTATAGTCATACTGATTTTTTTTCTCAACCTGGCTTCGAAAACACACTAGGAGAAATAAAGCCTGTTTGGAGGAGATAAAGTTAATGTTGAGGAGCTAGTACACATTTCCTTTTTTTTTTTTTTTTTTT